TGGTGCTATTTTTTAAAATCTCCAAAGATCACTGCTTCAAGTATCAATGGAAGCTGTTAGCTCCTACCTAAAATGATAATGTGGGAAAGGAGATCTATTCTTACAACCAGCTCAACTTGAATTCTTGACTTAAGACCGTCTTTCTGGAAGATGGGATGAGGAAGGGAGGAGACTCATTGTTACATAAGAAGCGCTAGCTGGTGCTCTGGAAGTAACTGCTAGAGAGAAATATCAATACTAAAACTCACTCCAGCAGCAGGTAGTTTCTGGACTCTGTAGCTGTTATTCATTGACTGCCTGTCTTCCTGCCTGGCCTCCTCCAGACATGAGAAACGCATGGTCACCACAGGGCGTGGCATCAGAACCTTTCCTGCTCTGAGGCCTTCAGAGCCACCCTTTCCCTGCCCCCCTCCCCTACTGGTCTGCGCTGAGCGGGAGGTACAGGAGGACCATCTGCAGAGCAGGTTGTTTTCAGATTAAAATGCTCTTAATGTCCCTAGTTTTTAGGGTGGGGGGGGAGGAGAGGGGGCGCATCTGCAAATCTTGTTCATTTCCCTGACTACTGAACATTTGCCTCCACTGCATCTATTAAAGAAATCTAATAAACAGGCAGGTTATAATGAATAATTGATTGTAAGGGTAAAACTCCCCTCACTTGTCATCAAAAAAATGTGGTCAGTGTTTAAAACAACCACTTTGGTCTTTGCTATACTATAAAAACTGCTTAAAAAGGACTGGAATAATTGTTCTTCATTTCATTCCATTCACTCACTTGTAGGGAGGTCCAAGAACATAAACCAGAGTTGTTTTTAGGCTCTCAAAACTGCCAGGGAAATATTTAAAAGGAATGAATTTCCAAATGATGGCCTTTTTAGTGGTGTCAGAGGGCCTATATTATTAGATAATTTATAAATAAGCTACTGATCAAGGTCATTACCCTTTGACACTGCTGACGCATCATCTGTGTCCCAACTGAGGATACTTGTTATCAACCCAATTTCACCAACAAGGACACTCTCAGACTTAAAATGCTTTGACCGGGCACAGCCTCTGTTCTGCCAGTGCCCGGAGAAGGGCCCGGCACGTACGGACACTCGGCTGTTGGATGAGGGCTAGAACGTACACAGCCCTTGTCAGCTAGGCCTCACACCACCTTTCACGGGTGCCAAAGCCACATTTGACGCACATACGGATTCTGTACAGGAAAAACGTTGTTCCAGCAACCTTCAAAGTTAGTAATAAAAAGAAAACCGCTACTGAAAGACACATAAAACATGAAATTCATTTTAATTTCTATATATCAAATACGGCCTCAGCACAGAACATCTAACACATACGAAATGTACTTATGGGACACACTAAATGGTGCAAACCCTTATTAAAATATTTGGCCTAATCCTCACATCTTTTAAATGAACTCCATGATGTCTGGGGAAGGTGGGAAATAAACTGTCTAGCTACCTGACCTAGAAGAGACAGATGAGTTGCCGTAAGTCTATTTGGTCTCTGCAGACTGGGTATTTACCATTCTGAGTCTTGCCAAAGTTGGCTCTGCAAATAGCTCAACTCAGTCAATGACATTATTTTTCCATAGTTACCTTAATATTTTGGTTTTTTAAAAAAATTTTCTATTGCTTTTTCTTTTTATGGCTTCTTACTGCTGTTGTACTGGGGCATACAACACAGATCAGAGATTTGCATTTCTCAGAGAAGTTTCTCTCCTTGAGAAATTGGCACTTTGATCCTCTGCTTGCGTAACAGCTACATATAAATGGATCCTACCAGGATTGTTACCAATCTTGCTGCTTATGAAATTCCAGCACTTTGGCCCAAAGAGCGCCCTGACGTTAAAGTCTTCTTAGGTGACTCTTCCCACCATCAGATTCTTTTACTCTAAACAGGTCTGTGTGTAATTCACATATATGTTATATCATAAGTTTCTACACACATATACACATTTAACTCGTAAAAGTGAAATGTCTCTCTCGAATAAAAAGTAATTACAAGGGTATTAAAACAAATGCTGAAAATAACTATTTTACATTTAGATCATAAAAATTTTCAAGGTAATTATGATGACATAAGACCTAAGAGATCAAATACATCCTGTATGATTGTCATATATGCACGTTGTGTTCATTGACTTTTTCTCTTTAATCAGAAAATAAAAGAGCTTACCTTTGTTTACTGAGACCACAGCTTACAGTCACTAGATCTCAGCCTATTTTATACAAGTGATATGGCTACGAAGGTCCGAGGAGAACGAGAATAAAGTGAGATAAACGTGCTGAAAACTGCTTAAAAGTATTAACCTGAAATACACAGAGGGTCCAACACCAGTTTTAAAAATACATTAACGAGGTATTCCCAGCTCTTCAATTAATAACGGTGACTGACTGATTCATGATTTTCAAACATTCACCCAAATTTTAAAAAAAGAAGGAAAGGCTAATAGCAGAAAAATCTATCAGTGGTTTGTTCCCAGGTTAACGGTTTCTGTGAGACTACGAACGACTCGGGACCCCTTGCTGCACGCACCATGCGCTGCATCTCGTCAGCATGAGGTATGTTGGGAATCTATTGGACCAATTACCTTGCACAAGAGAGGGGGTGCTCCTGCAGCCGGAAGAAACCGGGGCTGCGGGCCACATCCCTGGCTGGGCGCCAGCCCCCATGCAAAGAATATGGCTTCAAGGAGGACCCCTGTCTCTGAGAAATTATAACAGCGCTAACTGACGCAGTCAGGAATGCAACTACCCAAGTTATGTGCTAAAAAAGTTTAAAAAACTGTCAGAAGATAGCACAGCTCACACACTGATTCTAAGTTCTACATTGGTCTATAAACTCCCTGACAAGAGACTACGCTAGGAGGGGTAAGTACAGATATTGCTAGGTTTCCAAAGGAAAAGTTTTTAAAACAGACACCGTGGCTTTGAATAAAAGTATTGCTCTTCTTTAAAATGCTCAGTCATTGCTTTCCAGAGAAGGTGTCAGAGTGGTGTATCTGAAAGCTGGAAAGCCTCAGGGGGTCACAATGCTCTTAAGACCAGGACAGAAACTGCCATTTCAAGCCAGACAACCTGATGGTTCTAGAAGTCAGAGAAGAAATCTTGAGGGCCCAAGTGAATAATAAATGGTGCGACGCTCAGAGGCTGGCAATAGGGGCTGTCAATGAAAAAACCACCTACAGTGGAGAAAAGAGCAGAGAAGCAAAACTTGGTGTTAATTTCACAGAATTTGGTGAAGCCAAGAGCTTCATTTATATTTCTCTGCTCTTTCAGCTGTAAGTGGAATTTTCATTACAAAATGGAGGGGTGGGAAGGGCAGAAGGGGGGAAGGGGGACACTTAATTCATTACAAAATTTAAACAGTTGAACTTGCATGGTTACCACTTCTAACAAAGGACTGACAGCTCAATTATTTTAAGTAAAGCAGAGAAATGTAAAAGTTTGCAGCAACTGGGCAGGTTTACAACATGGTTAGTAACTTCCAACAAACAACAAAATTAAAAAAAAAAAAAGACTTGGTAGAAACCATTTGAAATGACTGCCATCATGTTGGAAAACAGCACAGCTCCCTTTTCACCATTATAGAGGGGTTAAATTAACGAAGCTGAGTCAGCTACTTCAAAAGAATTTTCTAAAGAGAAATCTCCAGAGAGATTCCAACTTGGAATGCAAATTTGACAATCAATTTCAAATAACAATACAGCTGCAGCTGCCAATTAATAGTATTCCAGAAACAAAAAGGACTATTGTAAATATTTAATTAATAAAAACTGGACACTACCAGCCATGCTTTTTCTTCTCAGTGATGGCTCTGTTTCATCCATAGGTCAGCAAAATGAATCAATGAAACATGAAAACTCCCAGCTGCGATGGGCCCTCTTGTTTATGTCTAGCCACTAATGCACAGGATGAGAATGATAAGTTCACAGCTATTTCTAGCAAGTGATGAGGTTTTATTAAAGTATCACCCACCACTAATAAAGACTAAAGGTCAAGGAGCAGAAGTAACAAGCCATTTTGCAATAACTACACATCTGAGAAGTGACACTGACGTTTGTTTTAAATTGCCCATCTCGTTCTCATTCAGTGGTCCCAAAGAAATGTGGTGCATAAATTTGCCATGTTTCTTGAAGCCCAGTCTCACTGATGGGCACTGTTCAGCTCTGAGAAACAGAACTAAAAACAGGCATTTTTAAGACACAGCGACATAGGAATGTCGATGCAGGACCACACTGGTGCCTTCATGGGGGTGAGTACCTTAATGAAACCATTACCTTCTAGTAACATCATAGGCTTTCCAAACAAGGCGAGAATGCAAGGGGTAGGCTCAGGTCTGCACCCTTTACAGGACAGCACAATGTTACCGACTGATCATTTTTCACCAGCTTAATCAGATAAATTTTAAGAAAAACTTAAAAATAAATGCTGACCCATGGCTGAAACCTGTCACTTTTCACAGCAGCACTCAACAAGAACTGGGACAATCGAAGAGCAAGTTTTTATGGGGACCCTGTTGCTGCTTTAGATTCTGATGTAATTGAAGAGGAAAAGAGACCTTTCAATGAATCCCAGAAAAATCGCTAATCTTCTATCTGCATGAAAAAAGCCAGGGAAGTGAACACAGTATCTTACAGAGTGAAGAAGGCCACAAGAACAAGAGAGGGTGATTGATCGATTAATTTATTCTCTTTTAAAACTTGGAAATTAGGAACCTAAAATAATCACATTCCTCCTTCCCCATCTCTGGGTAGTGCCATCATCTGAGTAAGCAATGCTCGGACAACAGAATGTACCTTTATCATGGGGAGGCCCTTGCACAGCGGTACAAAGGGCTTACAGAGTGAGTAGACTGGCTCAATCTAACAATTGCCTTTGCTTTGTTTTAGCAGTTTCCTTACAAATGAATGGGTTTCGAGGGCTCAGTTATTATTAGTTTTCAATTCCTTGTAATTTGATACCAAAACATATCAAAAATAATAAGCTAAAACAATATTCAAACCCATATTTTATTGGCTTTAATTACACACTTCAGTATTTACAAAGTTAAAGTTTAAATGAAAAGTCTCTATTGTACTGTATTAAAAAAAATAACTACAGCCCAAATTCAAGTGCCCTGGGGCACATACATCTCAATCAGAGCTCAGAATCAGTGACTGCGTCAGGAACCAGGCAGTACTCTGTGTTACAACAAAGCAGTTTATTGTGATCAGTGTTTGAGACTCTATACATCCTTCACAAATTTAATTTTACATAATCTGATACTCCTCTTAAAACTTAAACTTTGAACTGCTAGACTTATTTCCCTAGAACAGAAGGGCTGGTATAAGTTATTTTCCGGAAATGAGGTACCGTTTCACAGAACTAGTTTCTTTTTTGTTTGTTTTCAAGTTTTAGAGAACTAAATTTGCATTTGTTAAAATCAAAAAGTAGGAAAGATGTTCTTTACAAATAATTTTGATCAAGTATGTGTTCAAAGAAAGCAGGATAAAAAGGCTTTTTCTCTAACATTCTGTATTGTACTGTGTCTGTTGTTCAATAGGAATTAGCTTCTGTCATTTGCTAAAAGAATGAGTAGTGGGGAACAGGATATGTTGGGAATTTCATAACGGGTAACAGAACCATTCTCTTGGGTAAACCTACAGAGAAAAGAAACGGAGAGGACTCCAAATAAGTTTAATAATCCAATAAAAATTTCAGGTTAAAAAATATCTTACAGTAATTATCATTAACCTTTTCCAGATTAGTCAGTCAACATGAACCATTTTGGAGAAGACCCACAAACCTCTCACAGATCTCCTATTTTGAAATTGCTCCTAATATTTTGATCATCAGTATTTTCCACTCAAAATTAAGAGGGCCATATTGCAGGAAGAATGATATTCAGAAAGCAATTTCATTGGAGTGAGCAGTCATCAAATCTAAAGATCAAAAGCAATGCTATTGATTAATATTCCAAAGGGGCTCCAGAAATCCAGAATGGTTTTCAATTTGGTACATCACACATTGCAGGAGAAACAGGGATGCCTGGCAAGACTCAGAGCACAGCTTTCTGTGCAGGCCTCAGCTCCCCAGAAAGACCGCTCCGCCTGGAGTCACGACCAGGTACTGATCTTCCCAATGGCTACTGCGGATATTGGCGTGGCAAATCTGGAAAGATTAACTACTTTCTTAATTTTGTAATGAACGAGTTCTTGTGGCCTCACAAACTTCTGCATACTCAACCAGGATTTGAAATCTGCTCCTATTTCTATTCTAATATTTAACCTACGGAGAAATCACAAAGCAGCAACAGCAGGTATTCAAGAGCACCAGATGATCAGAGGGAAATTACCCCACATGCAACAGCTTTACAAAGGCCAAAAGACATATTTACCTTACAGCCAAAATAAAGCATTGTTTTAGTAGGTTGGCATCACAGTAACATTTAAAAACCAAATCTTTTATGTGAAAAATGGGGGCATCAAATTTCACCAGCTTTGGAAGTCAGTTATATGGCACATGGAAGAGAGGAGCCGTCTGAAGTGGGCCTCAGAGGCCACAGGGTGAAAGTATAATGTTAGAGGAAAGGGGGGAACAAGAGAGAAAAATTAAAGATTGAGGAAAAACATGAATGCAGCTTAAAGCCTAGACAAACCAGTGTTTCAAAGAGAAAAATTAAGCTCTGGAGAACCTGTACTACAGAAGGAGACTTCACTCTGCCTAAAAGAAAGACAGAGACCTAACAACCTGCCCCAGCAGGCAGGTGCTCTGTGGCTCACACAAGACACAGCACGATGGACCACTGAGTCAGGATGCATTTGGATAAACTGCCCAGACCTGATTCACAGGAGGGATGAGGTGGTCAGGACACCCAGAAGTTGGCTGAATGGTAAAAGCAAGTGGCCAAAACCACAAGGAGCTAGAGAATCAAAATTTAGAAGAAATTCTGGGTGAAAACACTCTCTTGAGTAAGTTCTCACTTCTTAATGTGGGGGGTCGGGGGAAGGCCTGGCCAAACCTGAGTGTTCCGGAGGAAACCCTCGGGTAGAGGAGGAAATCCCAGACTTGGCACTCTACTGTAGAGAAAACTCACCCCAAATATTTGACACTCGTGGTTTCTCTGCATCTTTCCAGGATAGAAATAGTCTATCTTAATGGGGAAGGCAGTAAAACTGTTCATTTTCTACTTATTTCTTACAGTTTAGGAAATCAGATGAAGCTTCAATTTAGCAAAGTCTTAAGGACCCATAATTTTCATCTGAACAAAAATGGAAAAGCTGATGCATGAAGAGAGAAAGCATAATGAAGGGTCCTGAGACTCGTGTGGAGGACCGACGCCACAAGGAGTGGGGCGATCCACGACCTGCCCTGCTGTGCATGCGCACCTCCAGCCTGAGGTCGCACCAACACACACTCATGTGTGTACGCACACACTCACACTTGCACCACGCCCTCTACGTGCACATACACACACACATGCTCTCTTCTCCGGTGGCAGACACCCTGCAGGTGGCTGACCTACGACATGTAGCGCCTCGGGGAAAATGTCTAAGAGGGCATATCACTGACTCCAAACCTACTGCCTCCATTGCCACATAAACCTCATTCAAAAGTTATCCAAAGGGCCACTGAGTTTCATTTCAGCATTTACTTTTGTGTTTTTCTTATTTTTGGAGGGCGAGGAGACACTCCTATGATTTTGTAACACGTAGCACAGACTTTGTGCAGTAAGCACTTCGCTGCTGGTGAGAGCCCCCTGCCATGCCGGGGCTCGTTTATGCCACCTCCAAAGCAAAGTTTACGGAAAAGGACGATGGCTACAAATTTGAAGTGAACATTTCCCGACCCTAACTCAAGTCACCCACACGGTTTCAAGCCAGAAACTTCAATGCAGCCATGTAACCGGCGAGCAGTCAAGCTAGAAACCGGGTATGGCCCTTCAGTAGCCTTTGAATGGAGTGTTAAGTTGGCTGTAAGAAGAACTACTTAAAATATTTAATTTCAATATGGTCAGAAACAGGCAATTAGAACAGGCAGTCCTTCAATCAGGCAAAGCGGAGAGAAGAGCAACTCCAACCAAACCAAGAACCACAAGGTTGTGGCATTTTCAAGGGGAATTTAAGTGGGGTCACTAGAATGAATAGGTCTGAGATCCTCCAATTCATTGAAAGAAACCCTGGATACAAACTGTGCTCTAGATTGCTGTGACAGCGCTGCTAAGAGGAGAAATCAGAAAGATGGCGTACATACCATAGGCAGGGGCAGCGGGGCTGTAACCATACGGTGCTCCGTAGCCTGGTACAAAGAGAAGAAAGCAGATCAGTCCAGAACAAAGGGCACTCGATCGATCCTGGCCCAATTCACAAGTACTGCCTGGCCTGGCATCTTGGGCCCTGAGGACTTCTAGATGTTGGATGAATGAGAGTCATTTCCACAATGGCCACACCCTCCCTTCCCGCTTACCATGGAGGATTTCTCCCATGACCTACAAGGTTCTCGTAACCCACCAGAATATTCCTTCTCCTTGCAATTACTTATAATTATCGACTCGGTGTCTGTGTCCCCCACCAGAGTGACAGACACCAAGTCTGACACCTTTGCATCACCACAACTTGGCAGAAGGTCTGTCACATAATATCCACTTCCTAAATATAATTTGTTGAATGCTTAGAATCACTCAAATTACTAATTTCTTTAAAGCTGGAAAACAGAACTTTCCAGGTCTCTTCAGAAGGCAGTGACAGAACAGGCTAAAGCCTCTACTGATGCTAAAAAACGGGCATGTGGATCAGGCTGTGGGCTCAGCAACAAGGTCCATGTCCCTTGATAATCTGAATTCCTGGCCCCAGCACAGAGGCTCTCAGTAAATGTTGGCAAAACTAACATTAGCATGTGGTGCCTAAGGAAAAGGCTCACACTGTCAATAAAAACAAGTCGAAAGAACAGAGAAGTTTTTGAATCAATTTGTTCTGGCACTAGCTTCTTATATGTGTCTAAACATCTAATTTCTAAGTTGTCTTTCTGTATCTGTGAAATGAGGAATCTTCCAAGCTTCTTTATAGTGTAGTAGGCATTAGAAATACTGTGTTAACGGAAGCCCCAATTTTTGATTTTTCAATAAAACGAGTTTAAAAAATATAAATTCTGGGGCACCTGGGTGGCTCAGTAGGTTGAGCATCTGACTTCGGCTCAGGTCATGATCTCACAGTTTGTGAGTTCAAGCCCCACATCAGGCTTTGTGCTGACAGCTCCGAGCCTGGAACCTGCTTCAGATTCTGTGTCTCCATCTCTCTCTACCCCTCCCCACTTGCACTCTCTCAATAAATAAATCTATTTTTTTAATATCCATAAATACTAAATTGCTTGGGTAAATCTTTAGGGAATCTGGGTTCCAAAACAGAACAGGATAAAGAGGAGGGAGCACACCTGGACAGTTCAGTCGGTTAAGCATCTGACTCTTGATTTTAGCTCAGGTCATGATCTCACAGTTCATAGGATCAAGCCCCACATGTGGCTTCATGCTGACAGCAGGGAGTCTGCTTGGGACTCTTTCTCTCTTAGCTCTCTTCCCCTGCCCCACTCGCACTCTCTCTCAAAATTATTTTTCTTAAAAAATTTTTTAAAAATAGATTGAAATAAAATAAGACAGAACAGAACAAAGGGAACCTGGGTGGTTCAGCTGGCTGAGCATGAACCTCTTGGTTTCGGCTCAAGTCATGATCTCGGGGTCATAGGATCGAGCCCCACATCATGCTCCTTACGGAGCATGAAACCTGTTTAGGATTCTGGATTCTGTTTCTCTCCCTCTCTCTCTATCCCTTCCCGGCTCACACACTCTCTCTCTCTAAAAATAAATAAATAAAAATAAAAATAAAAATAAAAATAAAATAAAATAAAAAGAATAGAACAGAACAAAACCTACATGGGCCCTAAAACAAATCAGGCCTTTTTTTTTTTTTTTTTCATTACAACCCTTTTTCTAAAATCATTTCTGCAGCTTGCAAGCAATTTTTTCCCTCCTTTCCTAGCTGCCCAACTACAACTCATCCTTTATATCAGGACCAACTATCACCTCCTCCGTAAAGCCTCCTGGGTTTGCTGTTCATTCCTTTGCCTTCCCCACCCCGACCCCCAGGTTACAACTTGCATCACATTGCACAGTGTTTACTCAAATGTCTGTTCCTATCTCATATGACCTCAAGCATTCACTGGGGCAGGTGTTAGTCAATCTTTGAATGCCCAGTTCCAAATCTCTTGATTAAAAGAAAACACGCAAATGTACGCTTAATGAGTAAACTGCTTTCAGGGACTAACTGAAACGTTTCCAGAGAGATAAAAATTTTCATTTTTTTAAAATGTTTTACTTATTTTTGAGAGAGAGATAGAGACAGCGTGAGCAGGGGAGGGCCAGAAAGAGAGAGGGAGACACAGAATCCAAAGACAGGCTCCAGGCTCTGAACTACCTGTCAGCACAGAGCCTGACGCAGGGCTCGAACCCACAAACCGTGAGATCATGACCTGAGCTGAAGTCGGATGCTTAACCAACTAAGCCACCCAGGTGCCCCAACAATTTTCACTTTTTAGTGTTTACTACAGTCACATAAAACGGGATAGTACAACAAAGCCTTGGTCTTTGGTCTTAATCATACTCTTTAGTGCCCCCTACATCCTGTATTTCAAGAGGGTGCAATGCAGCTGAAAGCAGCAGTAGGAAATATGAAGTAGGAACAATATCAGAGGCCAAAAGAGAAAGTAATACTTTAAAAAGAAGTTGTACATCAACTCTATTCCAGGAAAAGATGGCCAGCTGGATGGCCAAGGCTAGAGTTTCAAGGGTTTTACCAAAGCCTCCTTAAGGAAAGAGAAAACCACAACCACTAAGCTGGCCCCTGATCGGGCTGTGGGATTCGAACCTCGACTGCTTTCACTAGCAAGGTGACTTTGTGCCTGTTATTTAACCTGTCTGAGCCTCACAGTCCTCTACAGTAATTGAGTTGGCAGGGGAATGTAATTAAATAATGTATGTAAGAATACTTACTACGGTCCCTGCTGCACAGAGTACACTCCGCAGATGGCACATGACCTATTCATAATCTAATTGACCTGATCTGAATCTTCTCTAGGCTATAAAAGAACTTCATTTTTAAAAGCTTCAGGAAGACAGGCCTTTTCAAAGAGGTCAATGCTATGACAAAAGAAAAGCTACGAGCCGGGCAACAAGCAGACCCACGCAATGCTTTCCACGATGATCACCACCAGGTGATGAGTGTTTCCACTTGGACGGGGGCTCAGCATCAAAGAGAAGCATCCACAGGCACTACCTGAGGGATGAAGCCCCCGCTGAACACGTAAGCACAAGCACGAAAGTTCATCGCAATAACTTGCCTGGTATCATTTAACAAAAGCAGCTTCCTTTGAATAATGACTGAATAAGGCAAAAGAGTATTAAATATCAGTGGAAACAGTGAGATACACAGCAGAGTGTCTTAGTCTGGGACCTATAAACAGAATCAAACCATAAGGAACCTTCTCGTCTACCATCTCCCTCCCTGCCTCATCCTCCAGCAGTCTCCTAATAAGCCAAAGTCACCGCCCCAGTTCCTCTCGCTGAAAATGCTGGGAGAAATCCTTGAAACCTCCCTCTTTTCTCATTCTCTACATTAAATCCATTAAGTGGGCTTCTGCAGGAGTCTTCAATCTGGTCATTCTTGCCACACATCTACTTCCCTGCACCTGAGGAGATACCCCCCCCCCCCCCCCCCCCCCCCCCCCCCCCCCCCCCCCCCCCGCACTGTCTGTGCCCTGAGCTACGAGTTTACCAAAAGCTTCTAACTTGTCTCTTCACAGCTGTTTCTAGCCCTACGATCTATTCTTCACACTATAGACGGTGATCTTTATAAAAAAAAAAAGTCTGATCTTCTCACTTCTCTTCTTAGAACCCTTCATGACTTCCCACTACACTTAGCATTCTAAGGCCAAAATCCAAACCATGGGCTCCAGGACTGGGATTGAGCATTCGGCTTTAGCTCAAATCACTCCCTGTCCCTGTCATGTCTTCCCCTTCTCCAAAAAACAAACAAACAAACAAAAACAAACAACACACAACACTCTCTACACTACACACATCTTGGCCTTCATCCTTCTCACTAGCCAGGTGAGACCAGCAGCACAAGGTCTCTGCATATGCTGTTCCCTCTGTGTGCAACACTCTTCCACCCCCATCTTCTCTGAGTTAACTCCTCCTCATTCTCCAAAGCTCAGGTCAAGTGTCACTTCTTTGAGGAAGCCTTTAGGCCCCAAATCCTAGACCCAGTTTCTCTGGACATTACACTTCCTCCTCTTTCTTTACAATCTTCACAGTTTATAATTGTGATTATTTGATCAGCATGTCTCACCCAATCATAAGCCGCATGATAGTAAAATCCCAAAGCAGGCGCATGATATTGGAATGAGTGAATATATTCTTCATGTGACACATCTTTGAGCTACGCCCCCATTGGGATCAACTGCTACAAGTAGAATTCCAAAACCACATCATCCACAGAACTGTCCAAGTGGCCCACTCTCCTTCTTAAAAAAACAAACAGGGGCGCCTGGGTGCCTCAGCTGGTTAGGCGTCCGACTTCAGCTCAGGTCATGATCTCACGGTTCGTGGGTTCGAGCCCCACTTTGGGCTCTGTGCGGACAGCTTGCTCAGAGCCTGGAGCCAGTTTCAGATTCTGTATCTCCTTTCTCTCTGACCCTCCCCTGCTCATGTTCTGTTTTTCTCTCAGGGGAAAAAAGAAACAAACATCATAAAAAACAACAAACAAACAAAAAAACCCGGGGTGCATGGGTGGTTCAGGTAGTTAAGCGTCTGACATCAGCTGAGGTCATCATCTCACGGTTTGTGGGTTTGAGCCCTGCATCAGGCTCTCTGCTGTCAGTACAGAGCCCACTGCAGATCCTCTGTCCCCCTCTCTCTGCCCTTCCCACCCCCTCACAAATAAATAAACATTAAAAAATAAAAAACAAAAGAAAACACACACAATGTAACTGAACTTCTTAGGAATGTTACATAAAATATAATGATGGGATAAGATTCAATCCTTATGACAATTTCATCTTGACCAACAATTACGAGCAGTTAACTTGTCAAGTTAAAGGTTCCATACATTCAAATAAATAAACTTAAAAAGGGCGGGGCACGCCTGGGTGGTTCAGTCAGTTAAGCATCTGACCCTTGGTTTTGGCTCAGGTCATGATCTCACAGTTTCAGAAGTTCAAACCCCATGTCCGGCTCTTTGCTGACAGTGCAGAGATCTCTCTCTGCCCCTCCCCGGCTCACACTGTCTCTGTCTCTCTCAAAATAAAAGAAAAAAGTTCCATACGTTCAATAGTGCAGACAACTTGACTGTAATGAGACAGCTATACATCTACTGCTGAAATAATATAAGTATTAGAACAGAAGGCAAAAGGTGGGCATCTTTTCCCATCTTCCTCAAGCCACGTGGTGAAATGGGAAGAATATAAACTCTGCAGCTGCAAACACCTACATTCAAATCTCTGCTCTGATGTTTGCTCCATGTCTCAGACTGAGCTAGCTGCCTTCGCCCATTAAACTTTAGTTCCCTCATCTAGAAAATGGAAATAATTTCTACTTGAGGAAACACTGTGAAGATTAAAAACCAATTAAGTGAAATCATTTCTGCAAAAGTATCTGGTGTATAGTAAGCTCTGAATAAATAAGCTCCCCTTTTTTTTCTGTTTGTACTTCTGTAGCCTTTATTGAATCCCAAACATTAAGTTAAAGAAACGCTATTAGCAGCAGGCTCCACCCCAGTGAGGGAGTCTCTTACCAGCAGCTTCCCTCTCCTGTCACACCCAACCAACTTCAGGTCCCCGGCTGAATGCACCCTGCTCAACATCCACACTCCTCGTTTGTCACCTCCCTCCAGGAAGCCTCTAGTCACTCAGCAGATGCCAGGGGAAAACCTATGACGTTTCACAGATTCTCTTCTTTTGAATTCCCAGACACACCCATCTTACACTTCTGCTATGTCTCTAGAGACCGTGTATAACCCCAGAAAATAAAGGAGATGCTGTTCTTCAAAGTGTGACCCAGAAGAGGAAGCAGGCCTCTTACAGGTTGTACTGTACCTGGAGCTATGTAGCCAGGAGCAGCTGTAGCCCCAACGAAAGCTCCCCTCGTTAGAGTTCCTCTTCCTCTGCCCCGAACAGCTTGAACCGCTGCAGACACGGCTGTATTCACAACACCCTTTGCCTGTTAAAAATAACACATTTCATTACTGAGAAAAATAAGAACTAACATCCTGTCATCTCTGTAATGCACAACCTCTATGAGAAACTTGAGCCTGCAGATGAGTCAGTAAGTTATCTATGACCTTGAACCTTAATTTATCGCCTATAAAATAATATGACACCTACCTTACAGAGCCGTTCTGGAGAATATACTGGCTTATAAAAGAATGCAAGTAATTTCTTCTTTTCACTTGAGGGTTACCCAAAAAGAGTTCATTTTCTATACACAAATTTCAGTAGTCAAATTACATTCAAAGTCATTTTCGGCCTGACTAAAGGAACACTGGACACTTGATACCTAGGTTCAAAATCCACTGAATTCTCCACCCACAGACAAAAAAAAAATACTGCAACAACCAACCACGAAGAATTAGCTATGAACCTGAGTGGGGTTTAAAAAACAAAAACAAAAACAAAACTCCCCAAAACAGAATTACGACAAGAAGGCCGAAAATGAGAATTCCAGGAAGGTCATGTGACTTCTTTGAGACTGTTTCTGCTGTTGTGTGTGACGTGTGTCATTAAATAAATACCACCTCTGAAGTCCCCTCTTGCTCTGAAGAGCCATGGGACTCCAGTAAGTCACACAGTCTCTGTGTCTACTTGAGTCTCTCCACTAATCATACAATGAGGATAATGATACCCACTTTGTTTTTTTTACTTCAGAGTAGAAACAACAATTGAAAAATAGAAAAACTCTCAAGAGAAGAACAGATAAGGACCAAAAGAACACAAGTGTGCTAAAACATCCCTTTCTAAAACTGAAATTTTAAAAACTCAAGAATATCTAGTTTTAAATTAAACACTACACTTATTCTAACATAAAGACACAACAAAAACTCAAACTAGAAACTACTAGAATTCCCTACTATAACCAAGGTACAGGGAAGGAGGTGTAGAGCCTCAAAGCTCACTGTGGAAAAGTCAACAAGATCTCAAACAGTTTAAATATTCAGAGCATACACACATTTATCTCACACTGAAAAATCATCATCTTTCATTCCTCCTGGGAGCACCTGTACCACTAGAGTAACTGGGGAGAAGACAGTTTCAAGGTCGAATGTATCATGCACAGGGACAGCCACTTTTCTATTTGGCTGGAAAAAAAAAATGCAGCCCACACATCCAAAATAGACTGCTTCTTGGCTGTCAAGCACATTGAACACATGAGTTTCATAGCTTCTAGTATGGAAAATTTCTAAAAATGGGTGAACTTCATGCAGACATCTTTTGTTGGCTTTTTTTTCTTTAACACAGTTTAATCCAAGTAGTCAGGAAGTAACAATCTGGTGGCAGTAGAGTGACTCCGCACAAACTGAACTCTATCTACTAGAACCAAACTGAACTACCTAATAACTATGTGCACTCACTTTTTAAACACTAAAATGATCTAATACAAGATGCACCTCGCGGTAAAAAACATAGCAAAGCAAACAAGGTAACGATTATCTTTCTACTAATTTAGTACATATCCTGGAAGGTTTTAGGAAAATAAAATCCACTTATTCTCTATCCACATGTGTACCAGTGCAATTTAAACACTTTATTTGTATTTCATATCTCAGTAAAAGTTAGTTCTCACTGTTTATATTTTGAATCCTAGAATTTAAATGTTTATTACAATAAGTAAAAGACAAGACAAATTTCTAAGATGTCTATAATACGCAACAGAACACTCACAGTCTTTGGAAGGAGAAGAACCTGGTTTAAAGAGATCCTACCCTCAGTTAGCTACGCTACTAAATGCAAGGTCTTCATTTCTTTGAGCCTCGTGTCCTCATCTGTAAAACGAGACCAATTCTACCCTCCTCCAGTAGACGCAGCATATGTAAGAGAAACTAAACCAACTAATACAGAATCTTAAATGATCTCAGCTTCCTCCTATTAGCCTAAACATTTTCAAGTGACTTGTTTCTACCACATTACTGCACCAGCACTTTCCACCAGGGAGAACTTTCCACCAGGGAGATAACGTGTCTTATAATCACTAATGTATCTCTTTTGGCCTCACAATCATGCACATAGTATAGGTCTAGAAAATATTCTGGAATGGATAAACGACAAAAGAACCTGTCATTCAACAGCCCATCTTTTCTAAAGACCTCGTTACAATCCTGGGCCTTCAGCAGCACGGACATTCCCATTGTCAGGAATGAACAGAATCGATACAGGGTCAAGTTCTACTGTGTTGCCCCCAAAGGAAAACACAAAATAAATAATGCAAAAGGACAAAACTGGAAAGGAAGTGGAAGTGCATCTGCCGACTCTGATGAAAGTAAGGCCCTGTACTCTTGGAAACTCCCCTAAAACAAATACAACATCTCATTAGAGTCCAGATCCCTCAATGCTCTGCTTCGTCAAGAGTGACCGAAAGCCCCCACGTAATACTGATAGCCTCTTTTTAATATATAATTTGCCTATAAAGACCACAGAACAGGGAATATTATAGTATTCATGATCTAACCCAAAGAAAAGGCTGCCAAATGTAAGAAAAAGAAACAACTTCAGAAAAAGCGAAAGTGGCACAAAGACAGAAAAGAAAACTTAATTCTGGTAATATTTTTCAAAAGCACTGCAAAGGTTTAATGCTTAACTCATACCTGAGGGATAATCTTCTTTTTCTTATTATTTGCTGCATTGGGTCCAGAAAACAGCTTCTCCAGGGCAGCTAAAGCTGCACTTGCCTTTGCCACTTTCTTATTTGGACCTGCACCTCTGAATTTCTGTCCATCTACTTCTACCTAAAATCAAAAACAACACTCTGCAATTATCCCATACAATTCCTCTATACAGTTTTCGTTTAAATGTATCACAACACAGGAAACACCAAAAGTCAAATAGTGCCAAAAGAATTAACTCAGACTAAAATTTTTTTACGCATGAGCTCAGGATATCCTAGGTCTCTGAGGAGAAAAGGTTGGCTTGAATCTGGGTACACACCTCCATTACAAAGCGTTTGTCATGGCTTCCACCAGTCTCCGAGATGAGTTCATACTTAAGACCTCTTCTTTTTTCATTGAGCTCCATTACGGGATTTTTGCCACTTGCTGTGAGGATAGGGCCCTGAGTTCTTACCTAAAAGGAGGTTCAATCAAGTAAGATTTTAGAGTATTAAATTTCTCATTAATACAATTACACTATGTTTTTGTTGAAAAGAGGCTCAAAAATATACTTTAAAGCATTTAGGGGATAGGATGTGTGATCACCTCTATATACAAATGACAAAGTATGTTTCAAGGTATGGAAACTCCACAAGCAGCAAGCATGGCAGTCAGTCCTCTAGCCAACCTGCCTCTAAAGTAGGACTGTCTCAGTAGATCAGTATTCAAGAGCAACGTGGCCTTGCCATTACATGGCACTCCAGGCTCTGCTCTGTGGTGCTCATGATCTAAGAATACTTTATTTAAATGACTAACAAAGCGGACAGAAGAGCTGAGATTCACATGACATCTGAGTGTTCACTGTTCTTCATCTTTAGGGTTAGGAAGAAATAACTCTCAATTTGGGAGATGGGAAGAAAATGTTCCTACACATCTCTCAGTTCTCTCTGAAGAGATTTAAGGGCACCTAAGGTAAAAACAGTAGGCTACAGACTATGAATTCTGAAATTTAAAAATAAGAATAAAAGCAGTCACTCTCTGCCCAAAGGAGCTAGAGTAAAGTGGGAGGGACAGACATAATCACTTTAAAACAGTATATATTATAGAACAGATGTATGTTATGGAGACACAGCAGAAGGAATCATTTTCTAGGGCAATCAGGATAGTTTTCCTGGAAGTGACATGCGAATTTGATAAGAAGTTGATAAGGTAGAAACAAAAGAGAAGGGCATTCTAGACAGAAGAAACAGCCATGGAAAAGCCCAAGAGAAGCAAAGAACATCTGTTTGGGAAAGGGCAAGAAGCACAGCTTGGCTACAGAAGGGAGTGAGGACAGGAAGGTAGGACCTGATTAGAAATGCCTCTGATGGAGCCAATTCATAAAGGACTTGGCATGCCATGCAAATGAGCTCTGACTTTATCATGAACTACGGGAGCCACGGAGAGACTTCAATCTAGAAAATTCATGACTAGATCTATGTTGTAGGAAAATAAAAAAAATCACACCAGGAATGGCAGAAAGCATTCATTAGAGGAAGGATTAAGACTACAGTAAGGAAAAGAAGTACTTTATGTAAGAGTGTGAAGTCTCAAATGAAGCGAAAGGGCAGCAACAAAAATAAATGACAAAATACTGCAACTATAATCTTGAGAAAGCAAAGACAAAAAGATTGGGCACTTTTTGAGGTTAGAGATCATGCCTCTAATTCTACCATAGTAATTGCTCAAGAAACGCTGAACAAAGAATTGAATGCCCAAAACAATTTTTATGTTACAAACTCAATGGACACTGCTCTATGCTGATTTGGTAAGTGGTTAATGCTGTAGAAAAAGTGAAACACTGGACAGCTTTATAAGCCTAGTTTAATAAACATGCCTGGGTCTTCTGCAATTAAAAAAAAAATCACTTCTTGAAGAGTTTTTATAATCTTTTTAAAATTTCAAAGCAAATTTCCAGTCTCCATCTTTAAAAGGTAATGAGTAATTTTTGAAACTAGGTCTATGGTAATTACTCTGCTTTCCAAAGCTGAAATCATTTTTATAAAAAAAAATGAGTCAAGACATACAAATATTTGCATTTTAATATTTTAATTTTAAATGAAGAATAAGAGCTTTCTCTCCTCCCACGCCAGGCCATGACTACATTACATAGACACAAAGCATGGATGTGTTCACTACTAGAACCGTCACACATGATGTGCCTGCTATTAGAGCAGCCCACACTGCTCGCTCTCTCCTTCACTTCCCTGAACTTCATAGTCTGAGTCTCAGAATTAATGAGTACTTTCTTCTCTAAGTATTTAGAAGACTGCCAGCAAAACATCTTGCCCTGCCTGTGACCATCACCTGTGAATGGCTGGTCCTCTCAAAAGCCAGCTGCCACGGCCCCTCTGCAATGTCCCATGACAAGTCAGGCATGACATTCCCAGGCAACAAGCCTCCCGCTGCTCCTTCACCCCGACCAGCCCGCCTGGTGCCTCTCTAACACCTACTTCCACAACCCCAGGCCATTATACCTTCTGTTCCTTTGGCCCCCAAACGCCTTCTTTCCACCTCTTCTCCACATAGCAAAATCCTCCTCATCACCTAAAACCTCACTCACATTTTACTCCCTTTGATTTTATAGTTGTGTAAGTTTCCTAATCACTTCCTCTTTTGAGGTTTCACATTATTATATTCATTTTGCCATTACAGTACTTATCATATTACATTATAGTTATGAACATGTCTTTTATGCTTCTAGCCTAAGAACACCTTGAAGCTCTGAACACAATTTCTGCAGCATCTGGCAGTAAGCAGGTACTACAAGGGGTTTACAGACTAAAAAAATACACAGTGCACTTCGTCTGGTAAATACTCGTTCCCACAAATGGAAAAAAAAAATTTTTTTTTAACTTAATGTAACCTTTAAAGCTGTTACTTTAAAGCCAATTTTGCTCATGCAGAATGCAATAAACAACGGCCCGGTGAGTTCCCCAAAATGCCATGTATACTCAGTACTTGGATTTCTGTCCCATTCTATTATCTGTGGCAATAAGCTCATAGGTCAGGACTTACTCAGAGTCTGAGGAACATACTAGATCAGGCTATGCCTCCCTCAGGGCTAGACCGACTCGATGATGACCCACTGCCTCCCACAGCTCAGCACAAACTTCAAATAATCCTAAATCTCCTCTGCCAGATCTTCTGGTTTTTCACTCTTCAGTTATTGTTGACAGTGTTGATACATTATAACTGTGAAATACTGGAAGGAACTTCCACGGCCAGCAAAAAGAAAATGCTAGTTAAATTAGGTACATTCATGTGTTATGCATTATACAGTTATGGTTACAGATATTTTTAGGGTTAAGTGCAAAGAAAAAGACAAGATGTAAAACTGCATAGAAATAGGAGTGCTGTCACAAAAATACTCCCAGAAAAAAGGCTTGATGGAAATAAACCAAAATATTAATAATAATAATGGCTGCCTCTAGAATACATACATTTGTATATGCTTTTTTCTTATTCACACTTATCCACATCTCTCAATTTTTCTATAATCTACAAACACTACTTTTTTTCTAAGGAAAAAATATATAAATATACCTCTAAGGTACTGGAGGTTTCAGTTGTAGAATTTCCAGTATTATTGCTTGAGTTTGAAGACACTGTTTCATTTTTGCCTTCATTGTCTGATTTTTCATCGGAACTCATACATTCAATATCTGCATCAAAGCCCGTTGGGTATCCCATTGCTTGTAATACCTATACAAATTACATTAAGATTCAGTTTCATCCAAACATCAGAGACCACTGAGAACAGATGAAATACTGAGAACAAGTTTCAAATCCACAACATTTGAATCTATGGAACACCTTTCAGAAAGAGCAAGATGGTGCTAAATCTGTAACTCCTTGGTTAAACAAAGTTTACCTACTAGAATTTCACCACAGAGAATGGTAAAAACATCCTCAGAGTAATTAGGTTTAAATGGATGAGAGAAATGCAAACCTGAGGCTGCTTCTGGTTCATTTAATTTGGAGGCAAGAGTTAGAGAAATAGCACAGCCAAATTCGACCAAGGAGGTGAGGGGAAAAGTAAAACAGCATAATGTAAAAAGTACAATGGACTAGAGAAGAAAAGACCTGCCAGTCTAATCCTGTATTTCTCCTCTGATCCTCAATTTTCCAATCTGCAAAATAAGAAGACTGATTAGCTGACCTCTAAATTCTATGACTCAATCCATTAGGGGAAATTAGCACAGAAAGGAAATCAAGAAGTCTTCACTGGGAACCAATTTGCTTGTTAACTACACCTGAACCTTTCTACTATTGTCCTCTTTGCTTTCAACTTAAACCATAATCAACACTTAAAAGGATTCAGTCTCAAGATTTATTCTCTATACTAAGAGAACCAGGAACAGTTTTAGGTTTGTATTTCCATCCCTGTCTCTCAAGGTCTGGTTACTTTATGACTTCTCCCAATATCCACTCTTCTATTACCATTCAATGCCTGACTTTTTTTAAAGTTTTCTGAACAGAGAGAGAGAGAGAGAGAGAGAGAGAGAGAGAGAGAGAGAGTGAGTGTGTGTGTGTGTGTGTGTGTGTGTGTGCGCGCGCGCGCGCATGTGAGCATACACACATTCAAGCATGGCTTTTAATATCACCTTCCAGATTATAATGCTTTTCCGATATTTACAAGAGAATACGTTCAGTAGCATTTTTATAACTCTCTTTCAAGCAGGTTGCTGTTGCACTGTCAGTTACTAATTTAAAGGTTTATATCAATATATATGGAGAAAGGCTCCTAAAGATCTCTGGATCTATTTCAGCTTCTGACTACTATTTTAAGTTGTCAGAGTATAAAAACAATGTATTTCTTTATGATCCCAACTATACCTAAGAGGTATCTCAAAAAACAGTTATGATAGCCTGACAAACGAGGGACCAGGCAGCCCAAACATAAATAAAACAGTACAACTATAAAAAAATGGACATAAATAGAACTCTGTAACACAAGAACTTGAAATTGATTCACCTAATTCATATAAAGAATTTGGCATTCTGTTGAACATTTTAAATCATAAATACTTTGTAATCACAAGGGAGAAAGCCAAGAATCCCTTTTCAGTATCTTATGTTCCAGAGGTTCTCAGGTTTATTCTTGTTATCATTTGATTTATTCTTGTCACTGTTTTATAAAGAAAACACCTTCTCTATCTGAGTCCTGTAATATGCTCCTCTGAAAAATCTCATCCTGAGAGAATAGTTATCAGTCTGGAAGGAACACTAGCTAATATAGGCTGCAAGTCAAAAGTCAAGAGTCACAAATCCGATTTGTTTATTCCAATAAAAACTAAAGACATGCAGGTTTTCTTAATTTAACACAATTAAAATAGTTTAATATGAATTATTTAACACCATTTCTCTCTGTGCTTTTCTCACATATCATATTCATTTATTTACTTTTTATTGTAGCAACATATTTCACTACACTATAGTTTATACAACTGATGGACAATCTCAAGAGTACTTGCAATACAGCCCAACTAATAAAAAAAAAGTCAAATTATTTTTCTATGAACACATGAGGGCATTAATTAGTATATGCTACAAGACTTTAAAAAACAGGTAATGAGTTCTCAGACCTCTAGAACAAAAGTTTGCTTGGAATCAACATTAAACCCGCCCCCCCCCCCTAAAAAAAACCTAGTATACACCAGAAAAAGTTAAGTTTCAAGTGTCTGGCAAACAAATCAAACCTAATAAATACATCAGTTGGGCTGAAGAATCACAAGATGATTCCTGGAAACAAAGTAACCAGGAAATCCAGTGTAACTATGCCTTTTTTCCCTGGAAGGGGGGCTGAGGCTGAGAAAGATGATACCCTCAAAGACTATACAAAAGTAAAATGAAAACACACTCTACCCTATGGCTCTCAAAAGAAGGCCTACCCATGACTCTTGATGGCTCCAAGAACCTCTCCAAAGAGCCTTCACTCCTTTTCCCCACAATGACGAAGATTCTTTTCATGGAATATGGCTGATTATGTCCCTAAAGATGCCCTTTGTGAGGGACTAGCAGAAAAAAGGGCCGGAAGAGTGAAGAAAATATTGGCAACTGATCTCCATCACTTCAGGGTGCCTTGCTGCTAGGCAGCCAGACTCCTGTGGCAAGAACTGTTTTTTCCTTGTTTTATTTTGATTTGATTCTCTGATGTGATTTGTCTCACCAGGTACAGACCCCTACCAAGCTACTGAGTAAGGAATGTAAGAATTTTTATCTATTGGGACCTATTTCCATAAACACATGTTGGATATAAAGCCCTCTCAAACTCTTTAATTTTTTATTTTTTTCCTTAATGCTTATTTTGAGAGAGCGGGTGAGCAAGGGAGGGGCAGGGAGAGAGGGAGACACAAAATCCAAAGCAGGCTCCAGGCTCTGAGCTGTCAGCAAGAGCCTGACACAGGGCTTGAACTTACAGACCACAAGATCATGACCTGAGCCAAAGTGGGACACTTAACCGAGAGCCACAGAGGCACCCTGAACACTCTCAAATTCTTATAAACAGAACCTGAGGGGCACCTGGGTGGCTCAGATGGTTAAGCATCAGAATTCAGCTCAGGTCATGATCTTGTGGTTCATGGATTCAAGCCCCCACACTGGGCTCTGTGCTGACACTGTGGAGCCCACTTTGGATGCTCTGTCCCCCTCTCTCACTGCACCTCCCCCCCACTCAGGCACATGCGCTCTCAAAAATAAACCTTTTTTAAAAATAAAAAATAAAATAAACAGAACCTGAAACTTGTCATATATAGATGGCAATTTGGCAATATATGCCTATAATTATAATAGGAAGCCCAACACATATTTAATGAGTGGATCATTCAAATGTACCCTCTTCTTGATCCAGAAATTCTATTTCTAGAATACATGTTTACTTGTTTGTTTTGTTTTTTCTTTTTTAATTTTTATGTTTATTTATTTTGAGAGAGAAAGAGAGACAGAACACAAGTAGGGGAAGGGGCAGAGAGAATACAGTATCTGATGCAGGCTCCAGGTTCTGAGCCGTCAGCACAGAGCCTGATATGGGGCTTGAACTCACAAACCGTGAGATCATGACCTGAGCTGAAGTCAGACACTTAACCGACTGAGCCACCCAGGCACCCTTGTTTTTTGTTTTGTTCTTTCTAAGAAGAGCTCTATGCCCTCACATATGAACTCACAGCCCCAAGATCCAGAGTCGCATGCTCTACAAAAAGAGCCAGGCAGGCACCCATAGAATACATCTTAAGGGATAATTAGACTAGTTCAAAAAGATGTAAAGCAATCAACTGGAAGCATCTAAATCTAAAAGGATTAGGACATTACAGTATAGTGATAATAACACAAAAAGGAGAGTAATCTTTGTGATAACTATTAAAAAACCTCATATTTTTAAATGAACAAAAAAACACTTAAATATATATTCTGTATACACATTATGTAGGTCCCACCATTCCTTATCTAAAAACCCTTGGGACCAGATTATTTTGAGAATTCATTGTTTTTCAGAGTTTAGAAAGCTAATACAAAATATTTACTATATATTTTCCAAATCTCCAGTCAGTTCAGGTGCTACCCCATGTTTGTGCAAAGAAACATAAAATATGCACATTAAATGGAATGATAAAGACTAAGGTAGTCCTGCATCAATTTGGGTCAGATTTTCCCATCAAATGAGTTTGTATCAAACATAGAGAAATATTATTCACTTTCAGTGCTTCCTGGAGTTTGGAACTGCAGGTTTAAAAAAAGGCTTGGAAAAACACATACAGACAAAATATTACAAAATTAGCCACTGCTCTACTCCCCCATATTTTACTGAATTGCAACATGCTATGAGGCCACTAGCTAACACTAAAGTCAGTTATAACATGCCACAAACAGTCACTGCATCACAGATAACTTTAAAGGCTATCTCTGGTATCCTTTTTTATAAAGACCTACTCAAGGAGAATGCCCACTTGCTCTCTATACCAAAACAACTGTAACTCTTCATACTCAACTGTCCATTCTTATGTCACAGACAGTGATTTCACAAGCTTGAGTCAGATGCTAGAGATCCTCGATCTAAATTTGTGACTCATTCTCAGCATACATTATAGCTAAGTTATTAAACTGTATTTTTAGCTTTGTACCTGGATTCATTTTTTTTCCCTTCATTTGTCATTTTTTTTTGGCCTTTTTTTTTTTTTTTTTTAAATGTTTTTTAATTATTTCTAGGAGAGAGAGAGAGACAGCGTGAGCAGGGGAGGGTCAGAGAGAGAGGGAGTCACAGACTGAAACAGGCTCCAGGCTCTGAGCTGGCAGTCAGCACAGAGCCTGACGCGGGGCTCGAAAGCAAGAACCGCGAGATCATGACCTAAGCGAAAGTCGGACGCTCAACCGACTAAGCCACCCAGGCGCCCCTTTTGGCCTCCTTTTAAACTCCTACTCTCTCATCAGACTTAAAGTAGCCCTTTTATAAACAAGATACAACATAATCCTATTGTTTTATATTTTTACAGCTTACTTATTATTTCTCTGCATTGTGCTTATTACTACCTGACATATAATTTATTCATTGGTATATCTGTCGTCTGTCTCCAATTCTTTCCACGCTACAATGCAGGCTCTGGGAGGCCAAGGGCTTTGTTTTGTTCACTGCTATATCCTTGGTATCTAAGATAATGTTCACATCTACATTAATAATACTTGCAAAATGGAATGATCATGAAAACAGACCAATTCTTATGCCATACTGTTATATAACACAACTTTTCTTAAGTGAAAACTGATCTTTAATCTACATGATCTTTGACATTTTCACATTCATCTACGAGACAGCAAATGTACTCATGGAAAAATTCCAGTATTTAGGAACTTTCTACAAACCTACATACATGCATGATGGTTGGTTCAATCCTGGACCTATGGAAATACTCTGGAATACAGAAAAGGCAGCATATGCATGAATATAATCATTAATTTTATTTATGACAGGAAAAATCTGCAAACAAGAAAATTTTCAATAATAGGAAGATGTTTAAACAAATAATAGTACATCCATATCAGGTTATATCATAAAGCCATTAAAAATTATTTGTGAAGATTTTGATAACATGAGAAAACACTGACAATATAGTAAATGAAAAAAAATATCAGTGAATAAAATTATACACACACTGTGAGCTCAACTTAAAAAACAGCAAGGGCACCGGGGTGGCTCAGTAAGTTAAGCATCCAACTTCAGCTCAGGTCATAATCTAAGAGTTCATGGGTTTGAGCCCCCCATTAGGCTTTGTACTGACAGCTAAAGTCCGGAGCCTGTTTCAGAATCTATGCCTCCCTCTCTATCGCTCCCCCGCTCATGCTCTGTGTCTTTCTCTATCAAAAATAAAAATATTTTTTTAAATAAATAGTTTATTGTCAAGTTGGTTTGCAACAACACCCAGTGCTCATCCCCACAAATGCCCTCCTCCATGCCCATCACTCCCCCTCCCCCCCCACCCCCATCAGTCCTCAGTTTGTTCTCAGCATTCAAGAGTCTCTCATGGTTTGCCTTTCTCCCTCTCCCCCACTATTTCCCCCCTTCATCTCCCCCATGGTCCTCCATTAAGTTCCTCCTAATCCTCCTATACATGCAGACATATGGTATCTGTCCTCCTCTGCCTTATTTCGCTCAGCATAACACCCTCAAGTTCATCCATGTTGCTACACATGGCCAGATTTCATTCTTTCTCATTGCGATGTAGTATTCCATCGTATAGATAAACCATATCTTCTTGATCCATTTGTCCATTGATGGACACTTAGGCTCTTTCCATGTTTTGTCTATTGTTGAGAATGCTGCTATGAACATTGGGGTACATGTGCCCCTATGCATCAGCGCTCCTATATCTCTTGGGTAAATTCCTAGCAGTGCTATTGCTGGGTCATAGGGGAGTTCTATTGTTAATTTTTTGAGGAACCTCCACACCGTTTTCCAGAGGGGCTGCACCGGTTTACATTCCCACCAGCAGTGTAGGAGGGTGCCCATTTCTCCACATGCTCACCAGCTCCTAAATACATTTTTTAAAAAAAGCAAACAGGGGCGCCTGGGTGGCTCAGTCGGTTCATGACTGTCCGACTTCGGCTCAGGTCACGATCGCATGGTTCGTGGGTTCGAGCCCTGCACTGGGCTCTGTGATGACACTTCGGAGCCTGGAGCCTTCTTCTGATTCTGTATCTCCCTCTCTCTCTGACCCTCCCCTGCTCAACCTGTCTCTCTCTCTCTCCCTCTCTCAGAAGTAAACAACAAAAAACATTAAAAAAAAAAAAAAAAAAGCTAACAGAAAAATATTGGAAGTAAATAAAACCAACATACTATATATATTAGTGAGCTGCCCATTTTTCGTCTTTACTTTTTTCTGTATTTCTCAAACTCCATATAATCAACACACATTATTTTATAACCAAAAAAGAAACATTTTGTAATCCAGAGATGACAAAAGTCTATATGTCATTGTCATTAAAATCTTCAAAAATTCTGTTAATTTATATTAGGAAAATAAGTACCTTATTTATAACATATAATAACAAAGCTGTGCTAAATAAAAGCAATACTGTACCTTCACTGCTACATGAAGTTTTGCTGTTTTCTTGGATGGCCCTGAGGCTTCATATGTTGTACCATCCACATCTACAGACATCGTGAAGACTGGAGCGTGGACAGGGCCAGACTGAGATAAGAGCTTATACTGAAGCCCAGGCCTTATCTGATTTAGCCTCATTAGTGCATTCATAAGGTCTATTGCTTTACTATCCAGAACTGTTTAAAAAAAAAACCACACACACAAAAAAAATAAGAATGAGATCAGAAATTAAACCATTTTGCTTTAATCTATGCATCTGTAGGTTCCCAGTGATCACTATAAATTCACCAGGTTTTAAAAAGCAAGAATTTGAATACACATATACAAATTAATTTCACTTCATAAGTTAATTCTAAAATTACTTATATCACGCTAACATTATTGTACAAGTGATATGAATTACTATATCTACACATCAATTTTAGTTTGTCAATACTAATATATCTTAAGCAATGAAGCTTGAAAACAAAACAAAATTATTCAATCATCAATTTCTGTTAAGATATGCTCTTAAAACTCGAATCAAATTCTTCACTTTGAAATTTTTATTTCCCTGTCTGAGACTACAAATCTTTTCTAGTTCACATCTGTAAGAATAAAGATTCTACACACTTTTCCTTAAGTTTCGTTTCATCTTCTTATTGGGATCTTTATCATCCCCTAATCCATCTTCAAATGGCCTCTTCAGAGCTGAAGACCCAGCACCTAAAAAAAATTATAAGAGATTTATTATCCGTCAAAACAATGAGTCTACTTACTCTACCAAATGTATCTAATATGTTCAGGAAGGAAAAACCTTAGGAATCACAAGGACCACAGTACTTTCACTGATCAATTAAATTACCATAATCTTATAACAGCAAAAAATTGTTAGTGAATCTTTATGAAACAATTTAATACTATCCTTTTATATATTTGTTTTCTCATTTACTCATGAATTGGCATTCATTATTTTTTCATTTTTCACACCCGTATATGTGCGAATAGAAAAAAGTCTACAAAGATATATATCAAAATGTTAAAGGTAGTTATCTCTGCTGATAGGATTTATTTTTATTTATGTCCTTCCAAATATATCTGTAATTTAACATTTATTATGTATATAAAATTTTAAGCCCACATATCAAAATCTTATGCTTTGGAATATCTATTTCTCACTATAAGACAGTCTTCTGCCTATTCAAATCCCACTCAAGATTTTATTATCAAAACAATATGGTACTGGCACAAAAAAAGACAGAGATCAGTGGAAAAGAATAGAAAACCCAGAAATAAACCCACAACTGTACGGTCAATTAATATTCAACAAAGCAGGAAAGAATCTGCAGTAGAAAAAGGACAGTCTCTTTAACAATTGGACAGCAACATGCAAAAGAAAGAAACTGGACCACTTTCTTACACCATACACACAAAAACATTCAAAATGGGTTAAAGGCCTATATGAGACCTCACACCATTAAAATCCTAGAAGAGAACATAGGCAGTAACTTCTTTGACACTGGCCATACAACTTTTTTCTAGATATGTCTCCTGAGGCAAGGGAAACAAAAGCAAAAATAAATTATTGGGACTACATCAAAATAAGAAGCGTCTGCACAGCAAAAGAAACAATCAACAAAGTTAAAAGACAACCTAAGGAACGGGAGAAGATATCTGCAAATGACATATCCAATAAAGGGTTACTATCCAAAATATATAAAGAACTGATATAACTAAACACCCAAAAAACAAATAATCCAATTTAAAGATGGACAGGGGCACCTGGGTGGCTCAGTGGGTGGAGTGTGTGACTCAATATTGGGGTGGTGAGTTTGAGCTTCACATTGGTGTAGAGATTACTTTTAAAAGGGAGGGGGGAAAGAGAAAAAAAGAATAAAATAGGCAGAAGACATTTCTCCAAAGAAGACATACAGATGGCCAACAGACATATAAAAGATGCTCATCATCATCAGGGAAATGCAAATCAAAACCACAATGAGATATGACCTCACACCTATCAGAAGGGCTAAAATAAAAAACACAATACAGGTGGCTCAGTCAGTTGGGTGTCCTGATTTCAGTTCAGGTCATGATTCCAGGACTGTAAGATCAAGCCCTACATTGGGCTCCGCACTGAGCATGGAGCCTGCTTGAGATTCTCTCTCTCTCTCTCTCTCTCTCTCTCTCCATCCCTCTCCCCCAGCTCACTCTCTAAAAATTAATTCACACACACACACACACACACACACGAAACAAGTGTTGGTGACGATGTGGAGAAAAAGGAAACATTTGCACTGTTGACGGGAATGCAAACTAATGCAACCACTGTGGAAAAGAGTATGGAGGTTCCTCTAAAAGTTAAAAATATAGACCTATCCTATGATCCAACAATTGTGCTACTGGGTATTTACCCAAAGAATACAAAAAAACTAATTCAAAGGGATACACACACCCTGATGTTTATAGCAGTATTGTTTACAATAGCCAAGATATGGAAACAGCCCAGTGTCCATCAATAGATGAACGGATAAAGAAGATGCGGAGAGAGAGGGAGTGTATGTGTGTGTGTGTGTGAGTGAGAGAGAGAGATTATACATATGTAATATTCCAGTTTGTGTGTATAAATATATATATACAACCATAAAAAAGAATGAAATCTTGCCATTTACAATGACATGGGTGGAGCTAGAGACTATTAGGCTAAGCAAAATAAGTTAATCAGAGAAAACAATACTGTATGATTTCATTCATATGTGGATTTTATTTAAGTTTATTTATTTTGAGAGAGAGTACAAGCAGGGCAGAGAGAGAGGGGGAAAGAGACTCCTAAGCAGGCTCCATGCTGTCAGCGCAGAGCCTGACATGGGGCTTGACCTCATGAACTGTGAGATCATGACCTGAGCCAAAATCAACAGTCAGACGCTTAACTGACTGAGGCATCCAGGTGCCCCTCAAATGTGGAATTTAAGGACCAAAACAAATAAGCAAAGGAGGGGGGTGGGGAGAGGGAAGGAGGGGGGTAGGGAGAGGGAGGGGGGGAAGGGGGG